GGAACAAATATAGATCTCTTCCAGTCAATTGGCCAAGTGGTTGTTCTCCAGATTTCTTGGCACAACTTGGTGAGCACATCCAGGGCAACTCCATAGGGGGAAAGATTTTAAACAAACTAAAGATGCAAACAGGAGCTCTGGTGGCCTGGTGTTAAGGAGATGGGATGCCAACCCAAGGACATGCAGTTTTACTCCACCAGCTGCTCCATGGGAGAAAGATGGACAATCTCCTCCCATGCAATTTGTTATTGTCATGTGCCGTCCAGTTGCCTGCAACTCATAGCGATCCTATGTACTTCAGCTCTGAACCCTGCCCTATCCTGAGCCAGTCTCACTGACTTTGACACACCTACCCCCATTGCCCCAGTTACTATATCAATCCATCTCATCAAGGTCTTCCTCTCCTGCACGGCCCTCCACCCTTCTGAGCAGGATGTCCTTCTCCAAGGACCAGTCCCTCCTGGTCACATGCCCAAAATATGTGAGACAGAACTTCAAAATCCCACTGAGGGGGTCAACTATGTGTTGGTTCCAACTCGATAGTACATAACAACAGAAAAGAAAGAAAAAAACCCCTAAGAATAAGAATCATAGTAAAATCCTGCCTAGTTAGGGATCTGTCTTGGTCAGAGTGCTCTAGAAGATAGAGGTAGTTTATGTATCTACATGTATATAGAGAGAAATTTGCCGAAGGAGATTGGCTCATGCAATTGCAAGGGTTGCCAAGTTCAGAATCCACAGGTTAGGCAGCAGGTGGAGACTTCTGCAAGCTTGCATCCAAAGCTCCTTCAGTCAGGCAGTGGTGAGGAGACAGAGTGATAAATTCTACCAAAATATCTGTCTAATCCTGCCAAAAGCAATCTGCATGTTCAACACAGTCCCAGTACAGATACAAAATTAATTTTTTCAAGGAGATTGAAAGGGAAATTGTCAAGTTTATTTGGAGAGGAAAGAGACCCAGAATAAGCAAGGCACTTCTGAAAAACAAAAATTAAATGAGAGGCATAGCGCTCTCTGACCTCAAATCCTACTACACAATAGTAGTAACCAAAACAGCATGGTAATGGTACAATGGCAGGCACACAGACCAATGAAAGAAAATTGGAAAACCAGAAATAGACCCGGTTATCTATGGTCAACTGATATTCAACACCGAAATAAAATCTATCAGATGGAGAAATGACAACTTCTTCAACAAATGGTGCTGGCAAAATGGGACTGCTACCAGCAAAAAGCTGAAACAGGATCCACATCTCACACCATGTACAAAAATCAACTCAAGGTGGATGAGAGATGTGGGAATAAACCCCAAAGCCATAAAGTTCATCAGAGACAAACTGGAATCAAGCTTAGACAACCTAGTCTATGCTGTAAAGAGATTGCCAAATACAGCCAGAAGTGCACAATCTGAAGAGGTTAAAATTGATGAATGGGACCTACTAAAGATTAAATCCCTCTGCATATCAAAAACATTTTCCAACAGAGTGAAAAGAAATTCTACTGACTAGGAAAAAAACATTTGCAATACCATTTCAGACAAGGGTCTCATATCAAAAGCTTACAGAATCTTATAGGGCTTCCACAAGAAAGAGACTGATAACATAATTACAAAATGAGCAAAAGACATGGAAAGACTTTTCACAAAGGAAGATATTTGGATGGCCAACAGACACATAAAGAAATGCTCTAAATCACTGGCAATAAGAGAGATGCAAATCAAAACCACAATGGGATACCATCTCACTCCAGTAGCAGTGGCAAAGTTTTATAGGACAGAAGTAATAAATGTTGGAGAGGATATATATCTCCACTGAGATATATAACATCATTGATGGGATTATGAAATGGTACAACCACTCTGGAAGGCAGTTTGATGTTTCTTCAAAAAAGCTGAACATAGAAATTCTGTAGGACCCAGCTATTCCACTGCTTGGAATATACCCCAAGAAAATTAGAACTGAGACACAGAGATTTGTACACCAATGTGTACAATAGCAACGTTATTCACCATCACAAGAACATGGAAACAGCCCAAATGTCCAACCACAATAGAATGGATTGAGAAATTATGGTACAATCACACTATAGAATACTACACAGCACGCAGGAGCAATGATTTTGAAAATTACTACCTAATTTATGAAAGACTGGAGAGCATTATACTAAGTGAGCTAACTCAGTCTTATGAAGGACTAATCCAGTGTAAGACCATTATTGTATAAAGAGAAAGATAACTAGTAAAACATGTCTGAGGACCAAAGGAGGGAGGGTAGGAGCAAAGGGGTGAGGATGGCCATGGGGGTAATCATAGGGTCACACACAATTTGATAGGTAGAAGGAGGTGTGTGTAAAGGAAATGGGAAACATCCAGTGTGATGAATGATGTATATAAACTTTGTCAGTAAATCAGCATAAAATAAAAACTTTATTTAAAAAAATCTGTCTATATGTTAGGGGCAGATCACACACCAAGATAACTCCCTTTTCTACTGATTTATCAATTGCCTTACCTTGTGCAACAATGACTAGTATATGACCACACCACTGAGAGTTCTAGCCTAGCAAAATTGACAAATTAATCATTATTAACACAAGAAATCATCTCTCGGAGCAAACTGGGGGTGGGGGGCTGGACATGGAGAAAAGTGCAACAATGAATGAATGGAAAAACAAAATCTCTGTAAATGTTCATTAAAATGATTAAAATAAAATTTTTAAAAAAGAAATCATCTCTCAGAAAGATAAACTAATAATAGATTAACATCTAAATATATTATATCATCACCTGGTAGACTGGCACCATTCTCTCCTCCAATCACTCAGGCTTGGATCTTTGGGAATCTCAAGTGATTTCAGGGGCTGAGTGGCTGGAGAATGAACTACCAGGAGAGATAATACCACCAGCCAATGGCAAAAAGACCTTAGATGGCCTAATGCATGGATGAAGGCTTCCCCAAGAACTACTCCCTTCCCTCAGAAAGACTTGAGCTGAGCCGTATTATAACATCTCTTCCTAGTCTATTCTTTTAACGGGCATAGATATTAGGAGAAAGCAAAGGACAATGGAACCCACATGAAATTTCATTTTGAACGAAGAGATAATAAAAGAGAACCATAACTTCCTTATGTCTTCATGTGATCCATCACTCATTACCTGTACTCTGATTGTTTTAACCCAATGACATCCTTAACGAGATAGGCCCTCATGAGTAATTTGGTTAAGCTAGAAGCACATATTATTTACTTTTTTTTTTTTTTACAAATAGATGGATAAGATGAAGCAAAAAGAACTAAAATGTCTTTATTTTGATTTGTGAGTTGATTTGTTATCTAAAAAAAAAAATAAGTGTTGTAAATTCTAATCCACATACCTTTGGTTATAATTCCATTTGGGAACAAGCTGTCTTTGTTATGTTAAGAGGCCATTTCTGCATGTTTTGTGTTAGTCACCTCTGAGATACAGCAAGAGCAGATTCGGCACAGAGAAGCTGAAGTGGAGGAAGGTAAATACCACACTACATGAGACCACATCTCATGAAGTTCAATGAGAAACAAAAGCTAAAAAAGAGACAAGACTTTCCTCTAGAGACAATGGATAGATAAATCCCCATTCCCCTCGAGGTTCGCTAACTCACTTCTGTCAAATCCAGACCAACTCATAGCCGCCCCTCTAGTGGGCTTTTGGGCAGTTGTAAATCATGCTGGAGAAGATTACACACCTTTCTCACACAGTCACTGGTAAATGCAAACTGCCAGAGAGGCACTACGTTTGGATTAGCAGTTCAGTCCATGAATTCTTACTTCTAGCCTTCTAAACTATGAGAAACTTTCAGATTGTTCTAGTCACTCAGTTGTGGTATTTTTGTTATAGCAGCACTAGATAACCAAGTCAGTTGGGTTTCAATGATAAATCTTCAAGTACCTTATCAGTATATTTTCAGTATTCTCATAAGCAAACTAATAGCAGCTAAATTTTACTTTACTTTCTTATCTCCCCTCCAGACATAGTAACTGTCTTTGTTGCTTCAAATTCCTGGTGACCACATGTGTATCAGAGTAGAATTGTGCACCACTGGGTTTTGCACAGGTGATTTTACAGAGGCACATTACCACATCTCTCTACCAAGGCAAGGGAGCTCTGGTGGCCTAGTGGTAAGAAACTGCACTGCATCCTGAAGGCACACAGTTTGAATCCACCAGTTGCTCCATGGGAGAAGGATGGGCAGCCTCCTCCAGTATGACTGACAGCCTCTGAAAACCCACTGGAGGGTCAGCTATGGGTCAATTATGACTCGATGGTACACAACACAACATCAACTACCAAGTCACTTCTGAATGGACACCATCCTTCAACATTTTAGTGAAGCACAGTAACATTTTCAGTTAGTAGTGAAGTACAAATCCCCAGATTTGGTGGCTCTCTCTAAGGGACTGTCTAGGCAAAGTGTTGGATACCAAATGCTCAAAGGCAAGAGAAGGGAAGAGAACTAAAAACGGGAGCTACACAGTCAGTCTCTAATTACTTTTCCAGATTAACTATGGAACTGGAGGGTGGAAGTTTTCTATTAAGAAACTGAGCAAATATTCCACAGTCAGTTTGAAAAATCATTATTTTATTCTTTCTATCCTACACAGGAACATCATCACCATCGCCGTGTTTTACGCACTGCCCGTGATTCAGCTGGTCATCACCTACCAGACGGTAAGTGCCGTTCACCCCATACTCCCGGCTACTAGACCACAGGGGAAAGATACTTGCTGTGATTTACAGAGAAAGGTTTCACTTAGAATCAGTTCAAGAATTCATTTCCCATTTGGGCTCCAATTGAGCGATGAGTTGGATTTTTCCATTGTTTCACCTTTGACTAACTTTTCAATCTAGTTCTCAATTGTTTTATCACAAAGGGACTTAGAATTTTCCACATTATTTTGTCAACAAATCTGAAATCATCAATTGCAATTTTTTCAGCTAGAATATTTGTTACGTGGATCTTTCATTATCAGTCTGAGGTTCTTTTCATTTTGAGATAATGAGGAGGATACCTATAGTTCCAAACCAAAGCAAAGAGTTACAATGTCTAATTCAACCCATGCTAAAGAATAAACATACAATGGACCGCCAAGAGAACAAATGGGTCTGTCCTAGAGAAGGTGAAACCAAATTGCTCCATGAAGGCAAGGAGTTTGATGCTCTGTCTGACATATTTTGGTCATGTGGACAGGAAGGACAAGTCCTTGGAGAAGGACATCATGCTTGGGAGGGTTGAGGGACAGCACAGGAGAGGAAGACCCAGTATGAGATGGATTGACACAATAAATCGGGATATGAGGGCAGGTGTGTCAGATTGGCTCAGGATAGGGCAAATTTCAGAGATATTGTGCCTAGAGTTGCTATGAGTCACAGTCAACTCAAAGCACATAACAACAACAACATGTCTTGGAGCTCTGGTGGCACAGTGATAAGAAGCTGTGCTGCAACTCCAAAGGCACACAGTATGGATTCACCAGCAACTCAACTGAAAAAGGACAAGCAACCTCCTTCCGTGCAATTAACTACCTCTTAACAACCACTGGAGGGTCAGATAGGGGTTAGTTCTGACTCAAAGACACAACAACTTGTCCTGCAGAACGTACATCCAGAATGAACCGTGGAGGCAAGGATGACATACCTTCATCTCACATACTTTGGTCATGTTGCTAGGAGGGACATTATACTTGGAAAGGTGGAGGGTCAGCGAAAGAGAGGAAGACCATCTACCAGGTGGATTGACACAGGGACCGCTGCAATGGGCTCAGGTGTGTCAGAGACAAGGAGGAGGGCACAGGACAGGACAAGGTTCAGATCTGTTGTTCATAGGACCACTCTGAGTTGTATTCAATGGCTGCTAACAGCATCTTGTTAAAAGTAAATATTTTTTTTAAAGTAAATATTTCTGTACAATTAAAAATAGCTTCATAAGACCATAAATTTTTTCCCAAAATTTTATTATATAATAAAAGTTTACAAAGCATAGGGGTTTTTTTCCAATCATTCCTGTACATTTTATTCTAAAGTATCAGTTACCAAACTCAATGTCTAATCATTCATCCATTCCGTATTGTCTTTTCTTCCACCCATATTAATAAGTATTCATTATTTATTTAATTCTTTTCTACTCTCCCTCTTTCCTTCCCTGGTAACCACCTTATTATGGTTCTCTGCGTTAAAACATTTATTTAGCTTTTCATAATGGTTGTCTTCTGTTTGTCCTTTGGTGACTTATTCAACATATCCTCTATGTTATATGGTATTTCACAAATTCATTGTTTTTCCATGTTGTATAATATTCCATGTGTGATGTACCATACTTTTTTTATCCATTCATTCAATCATCATGGACACTTGGGTTGTTTCCTACTCTTTGCTATTGTAAAAAATGCTGCAGCAACCATGATTATGTATATATCTATTCATGTCCCAGAAATAATGAAAAAATAATAATAAATCAGCTTAACCTGGTCAATGATGTTCACATCTATAGAATTAACTGTATTTGTGAAAACTCATTTACATTTTTTCATTCAGATGGGATAGACTCAAGGTCAATTATTGGTTCTTGTGGATTTTATTTCATTTTGCTTTAGCTTTAGTTTGAATTTGCATATGAGTAGTTGATGGTCTGTCCTACAGTCAGCATCTGGCCTACTTTTCATAGCTGATATTGAGCTTCTCCAGCAATTTTTTTTCCACAGATGTAGTGGACCTGATTCTTGAGTGTACCACCAGGAGAAACCCATGTATATAGTTGCTGTTTGGCTATGCAAAGGCATTTGACTATGGGGTTCGCAACAAATTATGACTAACCTTGAGAAAAAAATGGGAATTCCAGAACACTTGATTGTGCTCATGCAAAACCTGTACTTGGACCAGGAACATTCTTCAGAACAGAGCAAGCAAACACTGCATGGTTCAAAATCAGGAAAGGAGTGTGTCAGGGATGTGTCCTGTCTCCATACCTTTTCAATCTATATGCAGAACAGATCATTTGGGAGGCTGGGCTTTTATGAAGAGGAATGTGGTATCAGGATTGGAGGAAGACTCATCAACAACCTGCGTTATGAAGATGACACAACTTGCTCACTAAAACTGAGGAAGATCTGAGTGTTTGTTACAGAAGGTCAAGGACTATATTCTTCAATAAGAATTGAAAGTCAACATCAAGAAAACAAATATTCTCACCACTGGGCCAATTGGCAGCATTACAATAGATGGGGAAAAGATCAAGGTTGTTAACAATTTCACTTTGCTCTGATCCACCACAATCAACACTCTGCGTTTTCAGTCAATAAATCAAAGACAATTTACTCTGGGAAAAGCTGTTGTAGGTACCTCTCCAAAGAGCAAGGATGTCTGTCTGGAAACTAATGTGTGCCTCCTTTAGACCATGGTCTTTGCAATTACTTGCTGTGCATCAGAGAGCTGAACAATGAGTAGGGTTGACAGAAGAAGAATTGATGCCTTTGAGTTGTGGCGTTGGAGAACAGTATTGAGTATACAATGGACTGCCAAGAAAACAAACTGGTGAAAACAGGCTGCTTGGAGGCAAGAATTGTAAAGCTCCATCTCACATACTTTGGGCATGTTGCTAGGAGGTACCAGTCCCTGGAGAAGGCCATCATACTTGGAAGGGTGTAGGGATAGCACAGGAAAGATCCGAGGTGAGGTAAATTGACAGAGTAACTGGAGAAATAGGGGTAAGTGTGTTGGAGACAGTGAGACTGGCTCAGGATAGAGCAGAATTCAGAGCTATCATACACAAGGTCATTATGAGTAGGTGACTCGAAGGCATGTAACAACGACATTTACATTAGTATGAAGCTGATGTTATTTTTAATGCAGTGGTTCTCAAACTTTGCCTTGTGTTAAAACCACTTATGAACTTTTTTAAAATGCCAGTGTCCCCCTGACCTCCAAACCAATTAAATCCATCTTTGGGATTAGCACCAGGCATTAGTCATTGTGAAGCTCCCAGTGGTTCTAATATCCAAGTGCAGTTTGAGAACCAATGGTCTCATAATATGCAGTCAATTCAATACATAAATGATTAGAGCAAAGATTTTATGTGGTTTCAGCATCACTGGTTATAATTTAAATAGTCTCTTAATATTTTGAGGCTCTCTCAGAAAATAATGTTGCTTAAATTATGCTGTTGTCTGGGAAAGGTTCTTAAGAGAAAGTAATGAGTGTATAAAAATGAACACACATTTCCTTCTATCTGCCACTGTTATCATTTCAACCCAAAGGATCAGACAATTGAATAGCCCCCAGTATTAATCTAGAAAATAGGACATAGTATAACTACTTGAAAGGCGGTCCCCACTGTTAGCATCCTTTTATTCTTCTTTTATAATGAGAGCAAAAGGAAAAACACTTGGTTGAATTCTACCTGGGAGCCACATAATGGGAAGATGAAAAGAATATTTTAATTCAAAGTAGGATGATAGTATCTGAAGGAAATGTGTCTGTGCCATGTGGAAGATGATGCCTGATCCCTGCGGAGAGGGAGCACGGTGTGCATTGCAAACCACACACAGTTCATCCCTGTGCAGTGTTTGCCTTTCATGAGTCCAGACTGGGCTCAGAGGAGATAGAAAATCTGCATTTCCTCTCTCACTTTACAGGTGGTAAATGTTACTGGCAACCAGGACATCTGCTATTACAACTTCCTGTGTGCTCACCCGTTGGGTGTCCTGAGGTAAGCCCAGGCCTCTTGTTGCCCCAGGAGGCATTTAGAGCCTTTATTCAGTGTTAATCGCAGTTATCGAAAATCCTGAAGACAATTTTGGAACATTACCTTAGTTAAGGCTACCCACACCCAACCTCTTGCTAGCCCTATTGGATAGAATAAAACTGCCCCAAAGAGTTTCAAAGGCTGTAAAATCTTTATGGAAGTCCACTACCACATCTTCTTTCCAAAGGGTGGCTGGTGGACTCAAACCCCCAATCTTTTCCGTTAGCAGAAAAGAGCTTAGTCACTGTGTCACCATAGCTTCTTCAGTTAATGGTGGAGAAGAATTAAATCAAGACAATAAATTCACATATACTTCTCTCGTTCTTATCCTAGCAGTTCAGAAAACATTGCTAAGAAAAGTTTACTGAAAAGAAGATAGTGATGCTTTTTTAAAGTGGAAAATAAAATAAAGGGAGTGGTACTTGTCTATGGTCATGAGGTAACAGAATGACATCTCATTCAATCCATTAAGTAACCTCATGAGACAGTCATAACTTTTATTACCCCTGGGAGCATTGGTGTTTCATTGGTAGACTTCCATATAGGGAGAAGTCCACCAATGAATCGGTCTGGGTTGAATTCCTGGCCAATGCATTCCATGCACGGCTGCCATCACCCACCTACCTGTGGGGGCTCACTTGTTGCTATGATACAGAACAGATTTTCTTGGAGCTTCAAGACCAGGAATTCAGCTCTGGTGGTATGGACCCTAGGAAATTGCACTCCTAACCCAAAGGTGGTTTGAAACCGTCTTCCACTTCTTAGGAGAAAGATCCTCCCATGCGATTTGTAGCCTTGAAAACCCAATGGAGGATCAGCTATGAGTTGATTCCAACTTAACAGCAGTGAGTGACTAGGTGTCTTCCTCAAGAATGGCCTGCTAAGTTTCTTCTGAAAATCAGCCAGCAAAAACCCTATGAATCAAAATGGTCCCATCTACAGCCCCTAATAGAGATGGAACAGGATCGGGCATCGTGCAGGTGTATTGTGCCAGGGCTCCCCATAGGCTGGGACCTCCTCAAGAGTTAGAAACTTACTCAAAAATTAGTACGCTAGTTTTTAGAGAAAGACACCAAAGCTGAGAAAGCTAAGCACTTGTAAAAGATGCCTCAACTACTATTGCCGTTGAGAACGGACCCCAGGCCTACTGGCGCCTCTGAAATCCAGTTCCTGTCGCCGTGAGGGAAGCAGAAGGAGCAGTAGCCCGGAAGTTAGGAGCCTGCCTACTCACTGTAGAACTAAACCAGTCTCAGTTTTCTGAGCTTAAGTTGCAGACTGTGGCCACCTGATACTTACCCTCAAAATTCAGTCATAGAGCCATGTGTCAATGCACAAAATGTGTACTTCTATAAGAATTGACTCTCACAACATAGCTGAAATACATGATTAAACGTCCCATCTTCCCAGAATTCATACCATGTCGGTATCAAAGGGACTAGAAAGCAGTAAGGTAGGTAGTTGTTGTTGTTGTTGTTGTTGTTGTTGTTGTTATGTGCCATGGAGTCATTTGCGACTCATAGCGACCCTATGTACAACAGCCCTAAACCCTGCTCTATCCTGTGCCAATCGCATTGCCTCTGACACACCCATCCCGATTACCCCAGTCACTGAAGCAATCCACCTCATAGAGGGTCTTCCCTTCCTGTGCTGTCCCTCCACTCTGCCCAGCATGAAGTCCCTCTCCAAGGACCTGTCTCTCCTTACAACATGTCCAAAGTATGTCAGACGAAGCCCCAGAATCCTTGCCTCCAAGCAGTAGCCTGGTTTAACCCTCTCCAGGATGGATCTGCTTGTTTTCTTGGCAGTCCATGGTACATTCAATACTCTTCTCCAGCATCACAGCTCAAAGGTGTCAATTCTCCTTCTATCCTCCCTAGTCATTGTCCAACTCTCTGATGCATAACAAGTGACTGCAAAAACCATGGCCTGTATCAGGCAAACTTTAGTCTCCAGAGAGACACCGTTGCTCTTGAGTACTTTAGGTAGGTATTAGGGAAACTAAAATCTGAGAGAGAACAGACACATTATCGCAGCAGTGGGATTGGGGATGCTTTGTTTTGGTTTGAGTTATTTTGTATTAAGCATACAAAAAATAAGGAGTTAGGGAGCTCTTGTGGCCTAGTGGCAAGAAGTTATGCTGCAATCCCAAAGGCATGCAGTTCAAACCCACCAGATGCTCCGCTGGAGAAGGAGGGGAAATCTCCTCCTATGTCAGCTGAATCTGATTTGATGGTATGCAACAAGGAAGGGGGAGAAATAAGTTGGGTTAAAGATGATTTCTAATGATGTCTTGCCCTGAAATCTTGAGGATAAGTTAGCAAGAAAACTGAATGCTGATTCATTCAGTCATTGACACACTCATCGTGTGAATTCCTTTGATTGCCTTGACTCTGTCATTCCTGCAGTGCCTTCAACAACATTCTCAGTAACCTGGGTCATGTGCTTTTGGGCTTGCTCTTCCTGCTGATAGTTTTACGGCGGGACGTTCTCCACCGAAGAGCTCTGGAGGCCAAGGACATCTTCGCAATGGTGAGGAGAAGCTGGTAAATTGGAGATAGGGAGCTAGAAAGGATTCTGGCTCCAAGCAGGATCTGCAAAGGGGAGGGACACTCGTTTAATGTCGTGAGGGTCTTGCAGCATAATGAGCCACAGTATACTAATGACTGAAGAATGAACTTCCAGGTCTATGCTTAGGTCACTAATTACTGTCTTCACATTGACTAACCACAGCCCTTCTCCTTTTTTCAGGAGTATGGGATCCCCAAGCACTTTGGTCTCTTCTATGCGATGGGCATTGCGTTAATGATGGAAGGGGTACTCAGTGCTTGCTACCATGTCTGCCCCAATTACTCCAACTTCCAATTTGGTAAGTAGAATTTAGGTCAACAAGGATTTAAGTTAAAGGAGTGTTAGCTTAGGACCCCCTACAAAGGGCCAAAATTAAGCTTGGAAGAATTAAATAGTGTTTCATGTGAGATGACGTGATCTGAGGGCACAGCTCCGTGGAACATGACAACAATTTAGGTTAGAAAACACTCAACACTGAATGTTGATGCCACAGCTAGAACTGAGAGCTAGCAGCGGGCTGAATGTGAGGCAGCACCTCAGACAGAATGCCCCAAGAGAGTTGGCTCAATTTGGCAGTTGCTTTGGTGTGTGAAAATAATGGAAAATGTAGTTCAGACTGGATTAAATAATAATAGTGGCTTAAATCACCTGGCCATCTGGAAGTCCAGAGAGAGGTGAGACTTGCAACTGGATGAATCGAATGACTGCCTGCATTCCTGGGTGGCCTTGGTTGTCCCTCAGACCATCTGGTTTAGCCTCGGGCCATCTTCCTTCATGGTGATAGAAAATATCTGTCACAGAGCCTGGCTTCATGTCTTCCCCCCACAATATCCAGAGGAGAGAAAACAAAAACAAAAAAACAAAACAAAAAAAAAACAAACCAACCCACCAACACCCAGGTTTGTAGGAGATCTTTTAGGAGCAAGAAAACTTATTTTCCAGAAATTCTCAGATGAATTGCGCTCACACTGAAACCACATAAACACTCACAAACCTATTCCTGGCTCAGGTCTGGGTCGCTACATCAATCATAGTGAAAAACAAGGTGAGATTATCTTTAGACCAATCAGATCCTACCTTGGAGCAATGGTTATATTGTACTTCTGGAAGTACATACACTGAACAGTATGTATTTCTGAACTGGAAAGGGGGTGGATATGTGTTAGCATTGAGATACTGTTAAGAAGGAGGAAGGAAAGAATTGACGCTGGTAACCATGACATCCTCATTCAAGGATAAAGTCATTTGGGTTTTTTATTGGGGAAGGGCGCTGTTGAGCAGACAACAGAAATTTCTTTTTCACAATTTAGGATCCTAGAAGCCGGCCTTCAACGTGCTGGTTCAAGGGGAAGGCTTTCCTTCTCTGTCAGCTCTGGAGGAAGGATGTTTATCTCCTCAGCTCTGCTTCCTTGGAGAGCTCTCTGTGGATTGGCATCAATCCTCCTCCATTTCTGTTTAATCTCTCTTATATCTCAAAAGAGATGGACTCAAGATATACATTTGACATTCCTTCCTCAGTCACATAATGAAGACCAGCCCATCCCAAATGTTCTACTAGTTGTGCAATCAGAGACTCAACATTCAGTCTCATTGTCCTCAAGTCAGAACTGACTCATAGCTGACCCTTCAGTGGGTTTTCAGAGCCTGTCAATCACATGGGAGAGACTGCCCATTTTTCTCCCTCAGAGTCACTGGTGGATTCGAGCCACCCGCCTTGGGGTCAGTAGTACAACTCCCTACTGAAACCAGAATCAGCAGCAGTTCAGGTCCACCCAGAAATGCCTCAGAAACAACAGCTTGACACTATTGTTCTATCTTCAAGTTTATGAATCCTTTTCATCTGCCATTAACCCCACTTAGCATATTTCAATTGAGATGCCTGTGTATGTGTGATTTGAGTCAGAGTTTACAAAGCAAATTGTTTTTCCATTCAACTGATAATTAACAATTTGTTTTATAACATTAATTAAAATACTCGCAATGTCTTCACACTTTGCCCCACTTCTTTCCTGTAACTCTCATTTCCATTAATCCTGCTATCTTATTCCTTCCTGCCCTCTGAGTTTCAAAGGATAAGAATTTTTTAATGGTCATTTTTATGTTTCTTCTCTGGTAACTCATCAAAACATATTTTAACTGGGAGTCATTTACTTTCTGTTTTGTTTCTAGGCTATATAACTATTTCTATAAATAATCCATGTAGTTTTATTTCAGGGTGCTAAGAAGGGCCTCCTATATATCCACCTAGGACTCTTATTGTCATACTGCCTAAAATTTCACCATTACTGATTCCCTCCCTTTTAAAAAACACTTTTTTTCGTGACTTGAATGACTTGAGTTTACCAAGCATATTGATTTTTTCAACAAGGCCAGATATGCATGAATCAACCATTCGTATATTCTTTGTTCCATTATATTAATTGCAGTACACACTGTGTCTGACTGTCCAACCACTCCGTGTTGTCCTTCCTTTTACCCATTCTAATAATCATTCATTGTCTATCAATTAATTTTTCTTCTCTGTAGTTGAGGATTATTATTGTTGTTATTGTTATTATTTTTGAGCTCTGACGGCATAGTGGTAAGGACCTGTGCTGTCAATCCAAAGGTATACTGTCCTAATCTCTAATCCACCCGCTGCTCCATGGGAGAAAGATGGGCAGTGTCCTCCTGTGTCATTTATTGCTTCTGAACACTCGCTGGAGCGTCAGCTATGAGTTGGTTCTGACTCAACTAGAGAATGTTGATAACAACTACATTGAACCTCCTTGGAGGAGGTTAGAAATGATAAAAAGCACTAAGGCGGTGGGAAGTCTACCTGGGGAGCTATACATATGAGGGCTCTCTACATGATCTAAAGATAGCAAACACTTCACAGACTGAATGAGAGAGAATACTTTGAGGTGGAAGAGAAACCCAGAAAGTGTCATTCAGTGTGTCAGCTCCTGACTCGCTCCCCCTCTGCATCTACAGACACCTCCTTCATGTACATGATTGCCGGCCTCTGCATGCTGAAACTCTACCAGACGCGCCACCCAGACATCAACGCCAGCGCGTACTCAGCCTACGCCTCCTTTGCTGTGGTCATCATGCTCACCGTCCTCGGAGTGGTGAGTCCCTCTCCACCACCTTCACTCTGCCTTTCAGAAGAGCCCCATTGGGAGGTTTCTGTTGTTTGTTGGACCTCAAATGAACTGGTTTGGATTAATCGTAATCCTTGGTATATGACACATTCTCAACATTGATCAATTCATGGCATACTCTTATTTCATTATCTAGCTATTTTTTCATCATGCAATATATAAAAGCAAGTTCTGGTGGCTGAGTGGCAAAGACCCAAAGGCACGTGGTTTAAGACCACAAGCTGCTCCCCAGGAAAAGAATGGGCAATCTCTCCCCTCCTCCCCTGTGATTAACTGCCTTTGAAAACCCACTGGAGGGTCAGTTAGGGGTTGGTTCTGACTCTAGCAACAGTACAAAACTGTAGTTTATCACAAGAGTACACAATTAAGGTTGCATAGTGGAGTGTACTTGGGGCGGTGGGAGGGGTACGGGGGGATTGTGTACCAGGGAGGGAGTCTTTATTTTACTTTTGAAAGAGAGGAGCAAACTGGGGGGACGGGGGCAGAGGGCTGGGTGGGTAGAGAAGTGCAGCAATGAATCAATGGAAATCCAAATTCTCTGTAAATGTTCATTAAAATTATTTTTTAAAAATTAAAAAAAAAAAAACACAAAACTGTAGTTTAGTGGATTCCAACTCATAGCAAACCTGTATAGGATAGTAGAACTTCCCATAGAGTTTTCTCGGTTGTTGTAATGTCATCAAATTAGAACTCATTGTTGTTGAGTTGGAACTGACTCATAGCTGACCCTCCAACTGGTTTTTGGAGGCTGTAAATTACATCTTCTCCCTCAGAGTCACTGGTGAATTTGAACCACCAGAGAAGTGCCTTTGGATTGGCAGTGCAGCAGCCTATGGACCAGAGTCCCCTGTAATGTAAGAAGCACCTGTCCTTTGGATATAGAGCTGGGACTTGACGCATAGAGACGCTCACACTGTTTGGCAAGGCTGACTTCAAAGTTAGTGATTTCTATGTGTCCATGAGCAACAAATGTTGGTTGTCTGCAGTAATTTGAAAAGCATTAGCTTCACCTTTAGACCCGTTTTCCTTCACCAGGGTCCTTCAGCTCCTTTGCCTCACCCTTTTTCACCTTCATTTGGCCAGGAGTCCTTGGGCAACAATTGCTATTCTTGCAGTATGATCATTGTAAGTTGAAAGAAGGGAAGAAAAATAAAACCTACACAAAGCTCCTACATCCAAGCAGACAGATTTTATAGAGCTCTGTAGGAAAAAATCCTGAGCAAAGTTAACTTCCATCTTTACCCCTAGGTTTTTGGAAAAAATGATGTGTGGTTCTGGGTCATCTTTTCTGCAATCCATATTCTGGCTTCTCTGGCCCTCAGCTCCCAGATCTACTACATGGGCCGTTTCAAAATAGGTAAGTCATTCATTGTTCCATAATAAATACATGGACTTTTCCCCCCTGAGAAAACAGATAGACATCATCTCAATTTATTCTAAATGAAAACACTGTCAGGCATTCCTGAATGCTATGCTTAACAGCCTATTTCCTTTCCAAGAGCTTCATCTCCCTTCAGGATTTGAATAAACTATTAGCATTAGTTCTGTTTCCAACTGAGAAACTAAACTTGCTAGACCTTAACACTAAGGCAGAGTTCCTAGTCCCAAATACTTTGCAATTCACCCATTTTAAAAGTGCTATGGAGAATACCTAAAAGAAAAAAAAAATAGTGTTTTTAACATTTAGAAAGACCATTTCTCAAGTCATAGAAAATGGTTACCAAAATATGTTGCATCTTGTTTCCAAATTCCGGCACTAGAACTTCATGCAGCCCACCTATTGATGGTAGAGTGTGGGATACCTGTAGAGTCCCCGACAATGTGAATGTCCCAGCACTGAATGTTCTAGAAAGATCATCTGTTACTAGGCCATCATACAGAGGCACTTGTGTTCAACTTGTGTTAAAGTATTTAAACTTTGCAAAGTATTTCAAGGTCTACAAAGTCTGACTTACATATTGTTTTATACATTTCAAAACAAATCATTGTATATGAAGAGAGGTCCTTCCCCGATATTTGAAAAATCTAGAGCAAGAATACAAAGATAGGTCCACACCCTTTATGTCTAAAAAGTTTAATGTTATAAACCAGACTGGGGGCGGAGAACCCAACTAAATATGTTTCATAAATAAAAGCAACCGAGTGTTAAATATAATGTGCCTTCATTATAACGTAGAAAACCAAGTTCAAATCCAGAATTCTCAGTTCCACAAAAGAACACTCTAGAACACGTCTGTGTAGGAAAGGGAGTGCCCAGCCCCCACCTGACTGGATGTCCATTCCCACTCCTAACTCTGTTAAACATCATGTTGGGTATCACAGGTATGCTTATAAGCACTCCACACTCCAGTATTTAATACTGAACAATTCCTTCAACAAATAGCCAGCTCTTGGCCACGCCCCATATACATGGTGCTATCCAGCCTTGAGAAGAGTAATCAGGAAATGTGTCTACTTAGACCCTGAGAGCAGGCTCTCATCCATCTGGTCTTGGGATTCTGAGATCCAGGAACTCAGAAAGTGGTCTAGAAGAGGAAGGAAGTTGAGTAGCTTCCTTATCCTGACAGATGTCTCACTTCACGGTGAATGAGGGTTCCTCTTGTACAGGTCTAAAAAAAATCTGCATACGCAAAAGACTTGAAGACAGAAAAACCAAAGACAACAATTTCTCAGTTAGAAGTTTGTTTTCCTTTTGCGCCTAGGTCAGTGGATTTACCCTTGACAGTTCAATAATTTAAATGATTTAGCCAGTTCATCTCCAAGTTCCCCAGTCACAGCACCATTTGTTGGTTGTACAGAACATTTGATATTGCAATGTGGACATAACCCAACCTTCACTTCGCTTCAGGCTGAATAAGGTCATGTAAATGAAACTTTCAAAAATGGAAAGTGACTTTGAGCATTATTGTTCACCAATTTCTCAGAATTGGAGTGGGGCAGGAAATCTCGAATACACATAAATGTAGTGATAATGATGGCTAGTGCGTAGATGAGCTATGAATATACTTATACCACCTTGTACCCATGCAATTTTGTGATACTAAATTAGCTTACCTGTTAGAAAGGACAAACTTAACATCATATATTATGGCCAAGTTTGTCAGGGTTCCAGTAAAAAAAGTATGTCACACACAAAGATGTCAAAGATGACTCATTTGCAAAGGGAATGTTTGTAAAGGCGTGGCCCTTGTAGAAAGGTAGCCTGCCGTAAGCTGGGGTCAGTAGCACTGAAGCTTCTGCCACATGTAAACCCAAAAGGACAGATAGGAGGTAGTTAGCAAACATGGAAAAGGAGTCACACTGAAATGAGCAGTGACCTTTGGTTTACAGGCACAGCCAGCCCAAGACAACCTATAGGGAGGTTGCCGGGAAAATAAATACCCTGAGATCACTGCTTCCCTGCTGAGCTTCTCTACTGCCAAGTCAAAGGGTAGAAGAGAGTTTAGGAACCCCGCTTCATGTCATCCCCATAAGTCAGTCATGATGCCGGCTAGGGCACCATGCAAGATGGCCAAAGTACAACTTTGCCTGGCTATTTTTCATTTGCCTACCTAGGGAAGTTTCCTGTAGTGAGTGGTTATTAGTTTTTACCAGAGTCAAAGAAAAACTTACTGTTTAGCTATACCAATGGCTGCATCTCGATTTAATCCAAACACAGGCATTTGGATTTGTGGAAAGTGACTCAGGCAATGCCAGCCTCCTTGTTCATTTCATCAGCTATCTTTTTTCACTTTCTCAGCTCACATGCTCTTTTCCTTTGTGGTCCTCTAGGTGCACATGAAAGCAAATATAAACATCAAAACAGCAGGGATGAGGCAGGGCTTACATAAGTAATATGGAAAAAGCATCCTGACCAGCATTGTGGTCCAGATCATGACCCTGTATATCTTCCTCTCTAACATCAACTAAGCCCTGTTGCCATTGATTCTGACTCATGACAACTCCATGTGTGCCAGAGGATAGCTGGATAATGTAGGGTTTTCAAGAGTTAACATTTCTGGAGCAAATCACCAGACTGTTTTTCTGAGGCACTGCTGGGGGAACTAGACCTGCCAACTCTTTGATTAGCAGACAAATACATTCTCTACATATACCATCCAGAACCCTAGACTACAGGAATTCCTCATTCCTCATGCCTCATGCCAAGTGGGGACAAAAATGTGTAGAGAGGCACGTTTTTATTCATAAGTATGTCAAACAGTTTGTGCTTTGTTGCTAACCCAAGGATGGCAACCCACCCAGCAATACATAGTATCAAGGCTTGGCATCTGCATTTGTAACATCACAGCCAAGAAGACTTGGGGCAGTGTTTCTCTGTAACCCTGGGGACTCCCTGAGTCACAATTAGTTTGACAGCAACCAAAAACAAAAGTATGAGTGTTTGGAGACATCCAGAAGATGTTTGGGTTCTCTTTAAGGAACAAATGTTCCTTTCATAATCAGAAAACAAAATTAAAGGTATCTTTTTTTTGGGGGGGTGGAATTAACCAGTCAGTTTACCTATTTGGCTACCTTCTTAAAATTTTTTTTCTCATTTCTTCTCTGCTTCCGACTGATTCAGATGTTTCTGACACAGGTAATGTTTAGCCACTTTTATTAGGGCTTTCTATTGTTTTGTTTGTTTTGTTAATCATCTCACTTACTTTCCTACCTGCTTCATGAACACCCTTTATCCAGGTAGACAGGCTCAGGGGGAGAGGACCACAGAGAGGTTGAGAGTACAGGGTGCATTTTGACCCAGACTGTGCTGCACTTTTCCTGTGTGATTGTGGACACAGAATCTGCTTGAACATGTGCCCAACCTTCATATTCCAGTATATTTATCCAGGGACCACTGGTTAACTAGTTCTCTGGGGAACCCCAGAAAAAGAGTAGCATTTGCAACAGAACTGGAAGCCATACTCCCTGAGATGGTAGACCCAGCCTTGCATCTGATATCTCCAGTACAAATGGCTCACAGGAAGTCTGCTCTACTCCAGACCCTGACTCTGCTGGTTCTAACAGGCACATTCACTGTCATGTCATCTTTTGTGAGGATTGAAACTAATCAACATTTCATATATTTGAAATCTTTCCACTATATTAACATTCCTTTGATTATTGTTTCAACGTAGGTGTCGACTTTCTGTCCCTCCCAGTGTTCCTTGACTTAATTCTTACTAGTATAACTACCACTGAGAAATTTTTAAGCTAAGATTTCCTGTCTTTTAGGGAAATGGATTTAAGAGGATCAATAATATCTCTGTCAAAAGAGAAACCTTGCCAGGGTAGATGCCAAACAAAAGGAAGTCTAATTAAAGAAAGCATGTTGATAAGAGCCTGCCAGCCTGTCTGTTAGCTATGAGTGCTTGTATGTGTATTTCACTTGTCTTTTCACTATATGATGCATGGATGTGGCATGTCCTTTGTGACAGGACAAGTGGTTACGGTCATCATGTCTTAAAGCAAACTTTTATTGCAAATCTATTTATTATTATGGTTGTTTTGGTGAGATGGAGAAAACAGAACCTTGCCTCCAGAAGTTTCTCCTATAATTGGGTATTTGACATTATCTCTTACTAAGCCTTCTTACTGTATGATTGTTGTCATCAACAGACTGGGGAATTTTCCGGCGGGTCGCCATGGTATTGTATACAGACTGCATCCACCAGTGTAGCCGGCCTCTGTACATGGTACGTGGATGGACCTGTGTTCCTTGGCCTTCTCCCAGGAGGTGGGGCCCCAGCAGGAGGGGCAGGCTGGGAACAGCCACATCAAACTCCCCAAATCAAGAAAGACAGATAATCCAGGGTGGCTGAGGACCAGCTAGGGGAAAATGGTGCTCATTCTTCTTCTCACTCATAAATGATGGCTGATCCCATTTTTAAAAGCAGAATATTTGTTAGTATATGAAGGGAGAGGAAATGCAACATGTGCAAAACTTTCACAAAGTGATAATTGGAAAATCAAGACATGTACCACAAAAATAATAATCCAAAACTGAAACTGAAAGGACCACCACTAACAGGTTACCCCAAGACAGTAGACAGGAACCAATCTATCTTGAACAAACGTAAGACAGAGTGACTCCATCACCTACATGAGGATTTTTTTCACATTGTATATCTCTGCATTGTTTAATTGTCATCATAAACAGTAACTTTCTTTAAAGTGAGATTATTTTTGGAGGGCAGAAATATACTTTACAAAGTTCTTCCTTTGAACATAAGGTATCTTTTCTGTACTGAGTGGAGGCATCAGAGCAATGGTCTCAGCTCTGATTCATTGACTTTGTGAAGGCTACTGACCTCCACAAAGCCCATTGCACCAAATAGTCCGTGATGCTGTGGTGAGAAGTCATGAGGCTACTTGGGCCTGGCATAAAATTAAGCTCTTGGTAAAGCTGGCACACCAACCTAAGCCATGTGGATGACATAATCCTGCTTGCAGAAAGTGAAGACTGGAAACACTTACTGAAGAAGAAAAAAAAAACCGAAAGCCTTCAATATGGATTACAACTCAACATCAAGAGAGGGAATTCTGGTGGCCTAGTGGTAAAGAGTTCTACTGCCAAGTTAATGGTAGGTGGTTCAAACCCACCAGCTGTTCTTCAGGAGAAAGACAGGCCATCTCCTCCTGTGCAGTTTACTACCTCTGAAAACCCACTTGAGGTCAGCTAATATGAATTAGTTCCAACTCAACAGCGCATAACAACAATACCCAGAAAATGAAAATCCCCGCCACTGGGCCAATAGACAGCATCATGATAGAGAGAGAAAAGATTGCAGTTGTCAGAGACTTCCTTTTACCTGAATATAAAACTAACACCCAATATTTAAGAAATCAAAAGATAGACTTGATTGGAAAAATCTGCTATCAAGGTCCTCCTTCAAGTGGTAAAGAACAAAGATTTTCATTGAAGACTAAGATGAACCTGATCCAAATCATGGTATTTTCAGTTGCTTCATGTGTATCTGAACATGTGATAATGAATAAGGAAAATCAAAGAATTTCTACTTTTGAGTTGTGTTGGAAAAGAATATTGCATTATCTCCTGGACTGCCAAAAGAACAAACAGATCTGTCTGAGGGGAAATGCAAGTATAATGGTAAGGGTAGTGAAATGTCATCTCATGTTTTATGGGTGTGTTGTAAGGAGTGGCCAGTCCTTGGAAAAAACCTTGGGAAAGTCAGAGGGTTCACAAAAGAAGCCTCTTAACAAGGTGGAGTGACACAACAATGGCTTTTGAATGGCAGAGGCCATGGAGATGGTACAGGGTAGGCCAAGGTTTTGATATGTGGTTCATAGGGTTACTATAAGTCATAGTCAATTTGACAGCACCTAACAGCAACATAGCAAAGATGGCACAAGGAAGAGGAAGGTGGAAAAAAGCCAAAGATGGCACAAGGAGTTCTGATGGCATAGTGTATGACAAGTTGTGCTCCTAACTGAAAGGTTAACAGATTAGATCCCCCAGCTGCTCTTGGGCAAAAGAGGAGAAGTCTCCTCCCTTAAAGATTTAAAACCTCAGAAACACAATGGAGGGCCATCTTTATGAGCCAGAGAACAATCATTGGTATCTGGATGTTTAGAGCTTGAAATACAGCACATAGTGATAACAGAAAGTTTGGTGGTTCAAATCCACCAATCACTTTGTGAGAGATGAGATAGTTTTCTCTTGTAAAAATTCACAGCCTTAAAAACTTACTGGAGTGTTGCCATAAAGTAGATTCAACATGAGCACAATGGGTTGGCTTTGGTTTTGGTAAAGGTGGTGCAAACAATATTTGGCTTCTAACTGAAAAGTTTCCACCCAGAAGTTCAGTGGGAGAAAGATCTGGCAATTGGCCCCCAACTAAAGGGCAGAGCGAAGAAGACCTGAGGGGCAGTTCTGCTGTGTCACATGGGGAAACTGAGTCAAGATAAACTCAGTGGCACCAAACAACAACAATAACTGTCCTTTATAATCACAACGGTCTTTTTAAAAGGAATATGGAAGTCTCTTAGCTCTCTAAAATTATGGGAAGAGCTATAAACACTAAAACTTGCATTGACTTAAAACAGGATTTTTTTTTTTCACCTAAGCATCAAAACAATTCATTAGGACCTATGAGTATTTTGAGAGTTAAGTATCGGCTAGCTGTGAAGCATGAAAGAGAAGCGATTAAATGTTTTGTGTGAAATGTGCATGGCCTGCTATTAATATTTTCCAAACCACGATATTTCCTCTAAGTTGGATGGATTACTCAGAAAGACAGAATCTCTATTTTTAAATAATAGATGAGTGGTCAAGCAAATGCAAGTAAACTCAGAAGGTACCTGAAAGAGTTTGCAAAGGAGAAGGGTTGATTTATGAATAAATCTCTATAGAGTGGTTGTCATCAGCTATTGGTGTCAGTTGTCATGGAGTTGATTCCAAATTTCTGGGTGATCCATTTTGTAAACTGATCACTGGGTCTATCTTCCAAAACACCTCTGGGTGGTTCTAAACTGCCAATCTCTTGTCTAGTAGTTAAACACTAATCTGTTTGAGCCACCCAGGAGGTCATAATTGTTCTTTAAGGTGAACTTTTTTCCCCCATACTTTCTCCTCACTAGGGTCACTTTAATGTCAAGATGGCATGTTGCAGAGACAAGAAGTCTAGGAATTTCAAGGTCTCTTTGAAACCAAAATAGTGGCCAGGAGACTAACAACCTTGCAGGTCCCAAGAGGTGCCCACTACATAGAATAATCCTGGATTAAGAACACCAGTGGTGGCATTATTCTAGTTACTAAAGAATTGGCACACACATCAAATTCATCTCTCTGTGACACCCCAGTTGTCAACTCCCCTCAGCACTGGTGAGAAACTGTGTGTGTGTGTGTGTGTGTGTGTGTGTGTGTGTGTGAGAGAGAGAGAGAGAGAGAGAGAGAGAGAGAGAGAGAGAGAGAGAGAATGAATGAATGAATGAATATGGTCTTCTATGAGGATGTGGTCACATGTGTGTGAATTCTGAGGCCTTGCCAGTTAGTCTAGTTAGAGGATTAGTCCAATCAGAGGCACAGCTCTCAGAACCACAAAAAGTTTTCTTTCCCCAAGGCTATCATTTTCCTAGAGTAGATGCTTCCCCTATGGCAGGTTTCAAAAGCAGTGTGTTCATCCTTTCATTTGAATTTTTCCCTCCTTCCCAGGACAGAATGGTGCTGCTTGTCGTTGGGAATCTGGTGAACTGGTCCTTGTAAGTAATCTTAGAAAAACACATCCACCTGCTTATTAATATCTGTAACCCCATGGATTAATTTTCCTTCAATGACATTTTTAAAAAATAGAAAATTCAAGAGAGAGTAAGACTATGGCTGTCCTAGAGACTTGAAGAAATTTTGTAAAAAAAATAAAAAATAAGAAGCTTTTATGTACCAATACCAGTCTCCTTTATGTACTGATCCATTGAATTTATTTGCTCAACAAGACAAAATTATAACTTGTTATATCTATGTAGATAAATATGAGTGTATCTAGAGATACATAGGTATTATAAACATGTAGAGATTGTGTCAACAGTTGCAAACATACAAACACCAGTTTTAAACCCTTTTGCAGAATTTTCCTTAGAAGCTAATCAGTAGACATTCTTTCTTGTAAATAATTCTCCTTATAAATGAGTTTGTGTGTATGTGAACAAGTATCTTCTACTCTTTGCTTCTCCTATATCCATGTCTTCCTATTCTGCCTACATGATTTGCCTTCCTCTTTTTCTCTATCATTTTCTTGAACTTCTTTCTTTGTTGCTGTTGTTAGGTGTCATTGAGTCAAGTATGACTCATAGTGACCCTATGAACAACAGATCTGAATGCTGTCTTGTCCTGTGCCATCCTCGTTATCTTTGACATTCTTAGCCCTTTGCTGCAGTCACGGTGTCAGTCTGTCTCATTGAACAACTTCATCTTCTTCCTTTAAATGGCCTCGCAACAAAACTGAGCAATAGACATATATTTTTCCTAGTTGTAATTAGGAACTCTGGTGGCATAGTGTGTAATGTATCAGGCTGCTAAATGAAAGGTCAACAGTTAAAATCCATCAGTGGCCCCATAGGAGAAAGATTAACAGTCTCTCCTCTCCTAAAGATTTAGTCATGGAAACCTGAGAGAGGCCTACTATGAATTGGAACCAATTGGTAGGGTTTTGAGTTTATTCTCAATGAAAATTTGAAGGAGCAGAATGTTTAATGCATTACTTAAAAAAAATAAGCACAGTAGCATTTATTGGTGGCCTTTAACATAAGATACCTTCTTGATTAGTGATAAATTAACATTTAATAGGAAAGTGGCTGTCCTTTCTGAACTCTATGAAGACATACAATGAATAAAGTAAGGGACATGCTTTCAAGGAAAGCTAGAATCAAGTCATGAGGACTTCAACCACATGTAGGAATCATTATGTTCTGAAACTTCCCATGATATCATCACCCAGGGTTACCTCAGGATGACGTCCATAGTTGTGTTTCCCTCCTTTACTTGGAAGGTAAGTCAAGTCTGTGGGAGAACAGTCATCTACATTACTCTTCTTGACCACATTTTAGGGGCAGATTTCACAGTCCTCATTATTATAAAACTGGGTGTGGCACAAGAAAAGGGATCAACTTCTTTTTTAAAAACTTATTACTAATTTTGATGAAAATTTACAGAGACTTTGGGTTTCCATTCATTCATTGTTGCACTTTTCTCCCCTCTCACCCCTCCCCCCTAGTACACTACCCTCTTGGAAAAGTAAAAGAAAAATTCTTTCGTTGTTTTACAATCCCTCCCCCAGGTCCACTCCACAGGTCCTTCACTCTAGACTCCTGTCATGACAAAAATACCTAATCACATATCCCTTTTAAACTGTTTTCTCCCTCATCTGTTTCAGTACAGTATACATTATTGAACCCATCTTACTCAGTCTCCCCGCAACCCTGAGGTCAGTCCTGTTTTACAACAGTGGCACCGTGCAGCATTTGTCCTTTTTGTGACTGAGATACTTCACTCAGCATAATGTCCTCCAGGCTCACCCATTTTGAATAATATTGCATGAGTTCCTTGTTTTTCAATGCAGTGGAGTATTCCATTGTGTGAATATATCATAGCTTCTCTATCCATTCATTTGTTGATGGGCACTTAGGTTGTTTCCAAATCCTTGCTATTGTGAACAAAGCCGCAATAAACATGGGTGTGCATATATCTGCTTGGATGGCAGTTATGGTCTCTTCGGGGTATATTCCCAGTAGTGGAATCGCTGGGTCAAATGGCATCTCTATTTGCAACTTTTTGAGAAAGCGCCATACTGCCTTCCACAGTGGTTACACCATTTTACACTCCCACCACCAGTGGATAAGGGTTCCAGTCTCTCCACAACCTCGCCAGCATTTGTTGCTTGAGGGATCAACTTCTTCATAATCAATAACTGGTAACTGTGACTCTGTGGACTCACAGTCAACTGACTGATCTCTGAGTCTTGGACTATCAAAATAAACCCACAATCTACTTATAAGACAAAGTAAATATCTTCTCTCTTCTTACACAGGTGGGAAGTCTGAGAGACATAAAGTCCTATGGAGAAAAAAAGATGTGTGATGGGACATAAATGCTGTACCTTTCTGGCAGAGGGTTACCTCCAGAGTTGATATCTCCCCATGCTCACTTTGCTCTGAATATTACAAGATATTAATTGATTCAGACCTTGAATGATAGATAAATAAGTAGAAAGATGGATGGATGGATAGACAGAGAGACAGAGCGATAGAGAGATAGATGATAGATAGATAGATAGATAGATAGATAGATGATAGATAAATGTAGTGAGGTTAATGATAAAGAGTTGTACTGCCAACCCAAAGGGACATGGTTGGAATCTACTAGCTGCTCCATGGGAACACTAAAAACCTGAGACAGATAACAAAACTTTGGTAATATCTGTCAAGCCAATTACTGAGAAAATTCCACTTCCACTCAAGTGCATATAGGTCACCATCAGTCAGGGGTCAGTTCCATGAGAGAGGATAGTAACAGCATTCTAGGGAACTCATCATAAATACAAGTATAATATGGCTGAAGGTGTTCATTTATTTACTTCCGCATTCTTGAGAATAGCAAAAAAAACTAAACCTCAAAGGAAAAATTATTTAAGCAGAGAGGAGCAATGATTGTTTATATGATACAACCCCTTGTGGGAATTTCACACAATCATCAGAAATGAATAATTTGAATACAATTAAATATATGAAAAGATGCTTGTAATATACTAAATATTTGGGTTTGGGTTTTTGTGGGATTTTGTTTTTTTTTTACTTTTCAAAGAAAAAAGCAAACTGGGGGGAGGGGTGGGCAGGGAGAAAAGTGTGCACCAATGAATGAATGGAAATCTAAAGTCCCTGTCAACTGTCATTAAAATTTCAATTAAAAAAAAGTTTGGATTTTTAACGGACAAAAAGGTGAGTGAGCACCTTATGCCAATAATATTACTAATCTACCTTCATGGCTACAAACGTTTCTTCCCCCTTGTCCTCAGCGCCCTCTTTGGACTCATCTACCGACCCAGAGACTTTGCCTCCTACATGCTGGGCATATTCATCTGCAACCTGCTGCTGTACCTGGCCTTCTACATCATCATGAAGGTAAGAGCAGACGCAGGCAGCTCCACCAGGGCCTCCAACAGGCGGTGGATCAGCTTTGCCAGCGTCCACTTCTTACCCCACAGCTGCGCAGCTCTGAGAAAGTCCTCCCGGTGCCCCTGTTCTGCATCGTTGCCACGGCCGTCGTGTGGACAGCTGCCCTGTACTTCTTCTTCCAGAATCTCAGCACCTGGGAGGTAAGAGGATCCTTCTCTTTCCCACAGAGACATTTCCTCTCTATCTTGCTCATATGCTTAGGGAGCTCTGGTGGGAAAGGAGTTAGGCTGCCAACCCAAAGGCAGTCAAACTCCAGCGGGTTTCCCCAGGCAGTAAATTGCACCAGAGGAGATTGCCCATCCTCCCACAGAGCTAATGGTGGATTCAAACCGCATGCCTTTCTGATTGCAGTGCAGCTCCTTACCACTAGGCCACCAGAGCCTCTCTACAAATGGAAGCCAGAGCAGTGTGAGTTGACTGTCTGTATGTTTCCTCTGAAGTGGCTGGTGGGTTAGAACCACCAACTTTTCAGTGTGCAGCCCTTATTTAATCCACTACACCATTCAGACTCCTTCATAGGAAATAATGATGGATCTGGGGCACAGACCTTCTCACAAGTTCCCCAGATTCTCCTGATTTTGCTCAGTTGTTAAGGCTATTTTCTGTCTGTTATCTGTCTCTCTTTAATCACTCCAAACTCACTATATTAATAATCCACTATGTTAATCAAGAGGGCGCTCTGGTGGCCTAGTAGCTAGAAGCCACACTGCAATCCCAATGGCATGTGGTTCAGACCAGCAGCTGCTCATCAGAAGAAGGATGGGCAGGCTCCTCCTGTGCAGTTTACCACCTCTGAAAGCTGACTGGAGAACCAGCCATGGATTGATTCCAACTTGGCAGCATACAACAACAACATGGTAAGATCAGAGAGAGCCTTCAAAAAGATCTCTCTGGTCTACAACAGTGTAATCATATACTTAGAAGCCAATCTCAAAGCTAATGTTTAAAAGGAATAGATTTTATTTAAATAAAATGCTCACAATTAAATGGTCTTTCATATAATCACAGGTGTGCAATCATTACCATAGTCAATTTTAGGACTTTTTCTAACAACTCTGAAAGAAACTCCATACCCAGGAACTCCATAGTGGCCCTCAGAAATCTCCTCCTAACCCATCCAACCCTAAGGAACCACTTTTTGTCTCTCAGGATTTACCTATACCAGACATTTCACAGAAACTCTATTATACAGTAGTCTTCTTGAACTTAGCACAATGTTTACAAAGTTCACCCATGTTGGAACATGGAGCAGTGCAATATTTCCTTTCACTGCCAAATAATATTCAGCTGTATAGTTAGACTACATTTTAGTGATCCATTTATCAATTGACAGACATTTTTGGTTGGTTCTTACTTGGGGCTATTTTGAATATTGCTATTATGAAAATTCATGCACAAGATATTATGTGCAAGTTATTATATACTATTTCATTCACAATCATGTTTAACTGATTGGTCACCTGGATTTAGCTAACAATCATCTATGGGCTGGAATCCTCTTGTTTAAGTCAATTAGGACCTGGTGAGTGGGCCTTTGTATTTAAAAGATAGTTGGGCGTTAATTGTTTTGGGGAAGAACTTTCTTCTAAATGTTAACAGCACTGGTCTGTCAGTTTGCTGTACTAAGATAACTTGGGGTTGCTGGGATACTGAACACTGTGCCACTGGTGTGTTAAATGCCATGATGGTTACCCATGGTGGACAGTGTTTGGAAGAGCTCCCAGATTAAGATAGGCTTTAAGCAGGATCCTAAACAACATGCCTTTGAAAACTCCATGAACATTAGAGAAATGATGATAGTTATAGAACAGGGTTCAGATCTTTTGATCATAGGGTTGCTATGAGTTGTGCTAGACTCAGTGGCACTTAACAACAGCATGTGCATGGAAGCTGTTTGAGCCAGGTACCTCAGAGCATGTTTGTGGCTTCCTGAATGCTCATCCCCTTAAATATCAGATTTGCAGGAATTCATGCCCATATCGTCCCTCTCATCCTGCAGGGAACTCCAGCAGAATCCAGAGAGAAGAACCACGAGTGTATCTTGCTGGATTTCTTTGATGCCCATGATGTTTGGCACTTCCTTTCAGCTACCGCCCTGTTTTTCTCATTCTTGGTAAGATTTTAATGTTGTTACCATCTATATTTTTCTCCTTTTTGCTCCTCTTCCTATTTTTTCTATTCACATACTATTTATTATACATATACTAAGGACATCTACTATATATGTTTAAATAGTGTTAGTTAGGATTACCAGGCACCTCTGGATGCATGCAAACATACAACCTTCCTGTTAGCAGTCAGATGTGCCACTGAGGTGCTCTTCCCTTTTCAATACATCATTGTAATGCAGTGAGCATATCATCTTAATTGAACATCTTAATTAATTACGAACACTTCATTGTGCTCATGTAAAATCCATACCTAGACCAAGAAGCAGTTCTATGAACAGAACAAGGCAACACTGCATGGTTTAAAGTCAGGAAAAGTATGTATCAGGGCTGTATCTTTCCCCATGCCTATTCAATCTACATGATGAGCAAATTATTTGAGAAACTGAATTTTATGAAGTACAATGTAGCATCAGGATTGAAGAACGATATCAAGAACCTGTGTTATGGAGATGACATGACCTTGCTTGAAGAAAGTAAAGAGGACTTGAAACACTTGCTTTGTAGATAAAAAAACTACAGACTTCTATATGGGTTACATTTGAACATCAGAAAAACAAAAAGCCTCATCAGTAGACCAATAGGCAACATCATGATAGATGACTAAAAGAATAAAATTGCTAATTACTTAATTTTACATGTATTCACAATCAACACCCTTGGTAGCAGCAGTCAAGAAATCATTGGGAAAATCTGCTATTAAGAACTTGTCCTTTTTTCTAAAGAGCAAGGATGTACGTTTAAAGACTAAGGTGCACCTGATCCAGGTCTTGATATTTTTCAGTAGCTTTCTATGCATCTGAAAGTTGGATGGTGAAGAAGGATTGAAGAATTGGTGCCTTTTAATTGTGGTGTTGACAAAAAAGTATTGAATATACCATGGACTGCCAAAAGGACAAACAAAACTGTCTTGAAGTATAATCATAGTGTTCCTTAAAGGAAAGAGTGAGGGAGCTCTGGTGGCCTGGTGGCAAGAAGCTGCTCTGCAATTCCAGAGGAACATGGTTCAAATCCACCAGATGCTCTGCTGCAGAAGGAGGGGCAATCTCCTCCTGTACCAGTCAGATCTGATTTGACGGTACATACACACACACATACAAATTTAAAAATTTTTTTATTTAAAAAAATTAAAATAAGGGGGGAGGGGACACAGTGGTGAAACTAGTTCAGTTTAGCTGTATTTTCAGGAGAACCCAGTCCTTAGAGACATCATTCTGGGAAACAAAAGGGTCTGAGAAAGAGAAGACGACCTTCAAGGAAGTGAACTGACACAGTGACTACACAGTGGGCTTAAGTATGACAAAGATAGTGAGGATGGCGCAGGATAGAGCCAGGTTCAGAGCTGTTGTTCACGGGGTTTGTATGGTTCATGACTGACTTTACGGCATATAACACCACCACCATCTTACTTCTTTTCTTTTTTTTTTGTCCATTGAGGCATTTTATTTGCACTGTTTATTACATCTCTAGAAAAAGAATCCCAGGATGTTTCCTCCTGTGTGTTTTTGTCTTGCTTCCTCGTAGTCCATGATGCCAGCTGAGGTTGTCAGTACAATGAAACCAAACTGACGGGATGGGAGCAGATTATTCTGCCACTTTTCTAGATCTTTGAGCTGCACATCAAATCTGAGGCTGATAACGCCACACTTGTTTAACCTGCCTGTGAGGTTGACAACAATTTTCTCCGCTCTGTGATCATCAATGATTTCAAATTCGCCAATGTAGCCATGCTTCATCATCACGGTCAGGAACCGCACGATGACTTTGGAGCACGGCCTGATGAGAACCTGGCGCTTGCCTCTCTTCTCGGCATTGTGGCGGCACAGAAAGATGGCTGAAAGAGCACTTCTTTTCTAAATAGGATCTTCTGGTTAGGTTTTTCTTTTCCTTTTATGCCAATGTTATGTCAAGTATTAAGAATATTTTCTAAAAAAAAATTTTCTCTAAATTGCACAGCATGCTTCTTCTGAATTATGATTAGAACTCACCTTTCCAAAATTCCCCCAGGAAACACTACTGCCATATGAAAATTCTGATAACACTAGGATTTTTGTTGGTAGGCTGTGCTTCTATCTCACCTCCCATTTCCATTGTAAGTGAATGTTTTTCAGATTTATGGAGTGGCTGGGAAGACAAGCCAGGGCTCTGTTGACCTCCAGGCAGTTTATTCCATATATCTCCTAGTTGGAGACCTGTCTTTTGCCCACACAACTTCCCGGAAGCCATCCATATATTTGTAAAAGCCCTAGATGATAACCTTCAGAATCCTTTCTTCCTAACTTTGTCTTTTTCATTTTAAAACCCTGTGATTCCTATACATTGTTTCAAGTGACAACATTGCTAGACCTCCTGGGCTCCGAACCCTACTGGAGTTAAAGAGTTTCCACCATGTAATGGAAAGAGTGGAGCAGGGCTCCCTCTAGTGGCTAATTTGAGATGTCTAACCAACACGGAATAGAGCAACGTTTCGATCTGTCATGATGGCACTTAACAACAACCAAAACTATAAGGCTTCATTCCTAATGACATTTTTTTTTAATAGTCACCTAGATGGAGAGACAGAGACAACAAAAATGGGATTAGGAATTCTATGAGAAAACAATGGTACAGGAAATGATAAAGGATGAGCAGACAATATCCGATGCAAAAAGAATTCTTTCAAGTCTTGACTCTATTGCCTGCTAAACAAAGGTTTTTCTGGCCACACTATCAGCATTTTTACAATTTCTCCCACCCTATAATATTATTTTGTGTCCTCCTTAAGTTAAATTTAATTCTTGGTACATGTTACCATCTACTGGTATTTCCTTCATGTTCACTCCTAATAATAGTGGCCTCATGTACCAGAAAAATGTTTATCTGTGATTTATTGACTATGCAAAGGTATTTGACTGTGTGGATCACAACAAATTGTGGCCAACCTTGAGGAACATGGGAATCACAGAACACTTGATTGTGCTTATGTGAAACCTATGCTTGGACCAGGAAGCAGTCCTCAGAACAGAGCAAGGAAACACTGCATGGTTCAAAATCAGTAAGAAAGTGTGTCAGGGAGGCATTCTGTCTCCATACCTTTTCAATCTGTATGCAGAACAGATCATTCAGGCTGGAATTTATGAAGAAGAATGTGATATCAAGATTGGAGGAAGACTCATAACAATCTTTGTTAAGCAGATGACACAACCTTGCTTGCTGAAACAGAGGAGGATGTGAAGCACTTTCTGCAGAAGGTCAAGGACTATAGTCTTCAATATGGATTTAAGCTCATCATCAAGAAAACAAAAATTATCACCACTAGGCCAACTGGCAGCACCACGATGGATGGAGAAGAGATTGAGGTTGTTAATAGTTACAGCTCGCTTGACTCCACAATCAATACTCTTGGCACCAGCAGTCAAGAAATAAAAAGACAAAATGCACTGGGAAAGACTGTTGTCAGGGACCAATCTAGAGTATTGAAAAGCAATTATGTCAGTCTAGAGACTAAGGTGCGCCTGATCCAGGCCATGGTATTTGCAATTACTTGCTATGCATCAGAGAGCTAGACAATGACTAAGGATGACAGAAGAATACCTTTGAGTTATGACACTGAGGATGAGTCTTGAACATACCATAGACCGCCAAGAAAATAACTTCTGTCTTGGAGAAGTTGAAACCAAGTTTCTTCTTGGAGACTAGGATTTCGAAGCTCCATCTCACACACTTTGGGGACATGGCCAAGAGGGACCTGTCCTTAGAGAAGAACATGATGCTCAGAATGGTGGAGGGACAGCACAGGAGAGGAAGACTCCAGATGAGATAGGTTAATACAATAACTGGGGTAATGGGGGTAGATAGATAGATAGAAGGATGGACAATCTCCTCCCATGCCATTTACTCCCTCTGAAAACCTGCTGAAAGGTCAGCTATGAGTCAGTTGTGACAGCACTAAACAAAACAACATGCATATTAGAGTGAGATGTCACCTAAGCCCTTTGTCATATTCACTATCGTTGGTGTACTTGAGTTCACTTCATGGCTCCTGTGTTAGTATCTAAATACCATGCATGTTATGCATTTGTTTCATGCCTCAATTCCTCTCCTAAATGTAAGCTCCACAAGTATAAAGATGTTTGTCTTTTTATTGCTGTTGTTCTAAACTGTATTTCTAGCAAGTGTAGTTATTAATAAGAAGTCCTTGGTAAATGTCTGCATTTTATTAATTTCATTAATAAATGAATTGCTATGCATAACAAAGCTGGAAAATGACTAGGGATACTAGAAAGAGAATTGATGCCTTTGTGCTGTGGTGCTGGAGAAGAGTGTTGAATGTACCATGGACTGCTAGGAAAACAAACAGGTTCATCCTGGAGAAGGTGAAACTAGGAGGTTCCTTGAAAGCAAGGATTCTGTCAGTTCCTTCTGACATACTTTGGACATGTTTCAAGGTGGGACTAGTCCTTGGAGAGGAACGTCATGCTTGGGAGGGTGGAGGGGCAGCACAAGAGAGAAAGACCCTTCCTTTATGAGAGGGATTGATTCAGTGAATGGTGTAATGGGGGTAGGGTGTCAGAGACAATGCGATTGACACAGGATTGAACAGGTTTCAGGGCTGTTGTATGTAGGGTTGCAAGCAACTACAGTACATAACAAAATAACAACAAATGAATTGTAGAATTATAAAAAACCTGCTATTAAGGACAAGTCATTTGCAGAGGGCTTCAGAGCATGAAAATGAGTGGGGGAGTTTGTTGTTTTCAGTCTGTGAGTCTTAATAACAGATAAGAACCTACTAGGGCTGTGTATTCCATTCCTGTCTTCCCTCTCGTTTCAGGTTTTGTTAACTCTGGATGATGACTTGGACGTGGTTAGGCGGGACCAGATCCCTGTCTTCTGAGCCCTTGGCATTAAGAGGGGAAGAGGGAGCGATCACTCCTGGTGCTGTCTCCTGGAAAACACAGTGACTGCAGCAAAGTAACCACTGCCAAATGTTCCACTCACCGTCACAGAGTCAGGCCCGTGTGCAGTCACCAGGGAAGAGAGGAGCCGGAGGGAGGTGACCTGCAAGCAAAGGGGCAAAAGGGAAGCCAAGGCACTGGGGAAAAGCCAGCCCTAAGGAGCCAAGAAACAGCCGGTCCCCTGGTTAGCAGCTCTGTGAGTTAGAGATGGAAAAAGCTGCTCCAAAGCGAACTCACTTGTATTAGTGCTCTCTGGCACTCACCTTAGGTTTGCCTGGTTTGTAGAAGGATGTTGCACTCTTCCATCCATCCGTCTGAAGTCCACTGCCTGCAGGAGCCAGGGAGGGTTGGAGTCCTCAGTGCGGTAGAGGTGGACTTAAGGCCTCACTCAACTGAATGTTCCAACCTTACCAGCCAGTCACCTCCTCAAAAGGAGAACTGTGGGCTTCAGCCAGGTCCCCCACTCCATCAAAAGGACACAGGAGTGGTCTTGTCATGTGCTCCCTTAAACAGGTCACTGGGACGAAAGGCTTGGGTGCTTACCTATTCCTTAGTGTCTTTATCTCACTGCAGTGTATAGACCCCACAACTCAGGCTTCACCTTTTCAGGGATGGTCTTGTTCTCCACAGACTTCTAATAAGCTCCAAGGTGAAAGGGGCAATGGGACCATTGTCTGTATCAGCAGGAGGAACAAGGGAAATGGCCAGCAGTACAAAGAGCTTGGTAAACATCGGCCTCAAACAATCAGACCTCACAGTAAGGACTTGAGATTCTGGAGCTGGTGCAAAGGAAGATATGCTTTCCGAGCCTTCCAATTTATTTAGCTCAGTTCTCTGCCCACTTCACCTTTGGAGAAGGATTACAGATTCTTACTGGGGGCATTTCACTGGCGGCTTTCTCGAACTGAGTCCTTTATCTGTCATGTTGTATGTATCACGGGTTCTAGATCTTTCACCCTGAAGTTCTCAGAAGTAGCTCTCTAAGTGAATGTATTCTGCTCTTGTCTGGTTGCAGAGAGCACCTCCCTGAGGTATTCTCTCTTGATTGCACCTCCCTGAGGTATTCTCTCTTGATTGTACCTGATCGTCACTCTGACCCCAGCAAGGTGTTGAGAAAGCTGCTGACAGCTCTGCCCCTAAGAAGTCCTGTTTTCACTTTGCTCTGTGTTGCTTAAGTGTCTTGTGGTCAGAAAAATCTACATACATGTGTACACACAGAGACATGTGCTGGTAAAATTGGAGTAGCCTCTCATATCAGCTGTCCTTATGAGGCATTTGCCTGCATCCAACTTTTTTTTTAAAACAGTTATTATGCTTTCTTTAGAATATTTTCTTATATTAGTTTAAAAAAATTATAGTTGGGAAGTTTGGATAGAAAGTCGTTCCAGATTTTAAAAGCACAGAGATATTTTCAGTGAAATATTTTTACAATATTCTTTGCCCTCAAATGCCCCAGATTTGTAATTGGTCTTATTCTTTATCCCTGAAAAATTGTTGGCCATGACTAAGCCGTAGGAAGGCTAACTATTAAATGTTAATCAAACATCTAAAAACTTCCAAGCCTGTTGAACTATGAGTGATCTGACCCTTATTCTTTGGATCTCAAATATTCCAACCCTATATTTTTTAATACCAAGCCTATTGAACTGTAATATGACCCTTATTCTTTGGTTAGAAATTTTTTAAAAAGGGGAAAAATATCTAGTAAAAAAATATGATAGAAGCACCCATTGTCATAGTGGATTAAGTGTTAGGCTTCTATCTGAAAGTCCAGCAGTTCAAGTCTACCTGCCAATCCAAGAGCAAAAGATGTGACAGTCTATTTCCATAAAGATATGTGGCCTTGGAAACTCAATAGGATGGTCCCACTCTGTCCTGTAGGCTTGCTATGAGTTGGAATCATTTGACAATAATGGTTTGGTTTGTTTTAATGAGGCCAAAGAGTAAGTTGTATGATGCATTATATGTTTAGTAATTTGTCTGGGAAATATGTGTAAGGACTGGGACAGTAACTTGTAGAAATGCATTGTTTATGCTGCTGTATTCTTAACCATTTTCTGATAATGTCTATCTTGTGCCATAAAGTTATACATTATGGTCAATTTTATTCTCTACAGCAGGGCTGAAAACCCCAAACTAGCCTGCTCTTATAAATATCAATTTAAATGTGCCTGTTGCATATTCTTTCTGCAGTGTCAACCTAGTGGCTAAGAAACATGAAAAAGTCCTATAAGTGGTCGTTGTAGCAGGGTAAAAGGAAACAACCAGGACCCAACAGCAGCTTAATTGGAATTGCATGTAGTTCAATGCCTAAAGGATTTCTACTGGCTGAGTGGGCAAACAGTTTGAATCCACCAACTGCTCTGAGGGAGAAAGATTGACAGTATCCTCTTGTGTGATTTATAGCCTCTGAAAACTCACTGGACAGTCAGCTATGAGTCAGTTCTAACTCCATTACAATGAGTGAGTGAGCCCAGTGCATAAGGAGTCCTAGGGACGCAAGCCCTAGGCTGCCAACCGAAAGACTGGTGATTTGAGCCCATCTAACAACTCTATCTTTGAGCTGTCTCAGCTGGTGTTGAAGAAGAGTATTGAATATGCTAGGGACTGCTAGGAGAAGAAACAGGTTCATCCTGGAGAGGGTGAGACCAGGCTGCTCCTTGGAGGCAAAGATTCTGAAGCTTCGTCTGACATACTTTGGACATGTTGCAAGGCAGAACTGGTCCTTAGAGAGGCACGTCATGCTTAGGAGGGTGGAGGAACGGCGCAAGAGAGGAAGACCGTGGATGAGAAGGATTGATGCGGTGACTGGGGAAATGAGGGTAGGTGTGTCAGAGACAATGAGGTTGGCACAGGATAGTGCCGGGTACAGAGCTGTTGTACATAGGGTGGCTGAGTCACAGGTGACTTTACAGCACATCTCAACAACAACTCTACCACGGGAAAAACGTGGTGATATGGTTTCATAAAGATAACAGTAATAATAAAAAACCAAATTCAATGTTATTGAGTTGCTTCCAGCTCCCAGCTTTAGAAAGCTCTGTGGAGCAATTCTGTTCTTCTGTGTGGGATTGTTAGGAGTTAAATCAATTCAGAAGCAACCCCAGACAAGTACAAAAGTACTGTGGTTACTTTTGCCTGTGTTCATGGAACTCTGTCTTTAAAAGCCAAGTTCAACAGGAGGGTAACTGGACAGAAATGGCCATGGTGAAGAGGCTCTTGGCAGAACAAACACAGAATCATGAGAGCATTTCATTTGGAGCGGAGGAGTGATGTGGCAGCCAGAGAAGCAAAACCATCCGCATAAAAAATGACCTCTTCACACCTCTGACTAATGCGCGAGAGGCAGACCCACCTGTCTGCTCTGGATAGCTGAGGGATTAGCCTGGTTTTATTTTAGCCGCAGTAGAAGCTGGTGGAAAACCAGAACCTACGTGGGGAAGGGACTTTCCATGACTGGAGATCAAGTGAGCCAGCTCGTCGGGTGAAGACAGCAGCAGCTGCTTCCCTTGTAAACTCCCAGCAGTCACTAGAAGGTTCTGTGAGGCCACAGAACGTGTGGTTTGGTGAATCAAATCCTATCTCAATTTCCCTCATTCTGGGAGATTATTTCTAGTAGATTTGTCACTGTCTAAAACTGTCTTCACAGAATGAACATGGTTTGAGAAAGATTCTAGAGTTTGCATTAGTCCTTAGCTGCTGAGTGGTGTTTGGCTGGAGCTCCCTGCTGTGCTGAGATGTGTCAAGCACACAGGTGGCATTGAGGACACCCCCCAGTCTCTGCTGCTCTTCAGTCTGGGACACAGAACTAGGATCTCTTTCATTCTGGCGACACCCCATTATGGAATCCAGCTTTCCCTGTTCTCAGTTCTAGAAGTATCCAGAGATACTACCCTGAGTTATCACACCCCAGAACTACCTCTGCACTTTTACTGATACGTTTTATGACATTTTGGCCCCTGATACTCTGACTCCAACTGAGATGAAAAGGATCCAAGGTGAGGGCCAAGTGGAAAAGCTGCCTGTAAGGAATGTCTCACCTCATCCCTCCCTGCTCTGCCCAGCATCTCAAAGGCAAGGAAGCCTAGCTTTTTCTCCCCTCAACCACACAGTCTGTAGGGAAAGTCTGGATATTCTTCCTGCATGCTCATGACAAAACGGCTCCCAGAAAAAGGAGGCATGGTTGGGGCGCTTGTGTTTTTAAATGACGGTGACTCTAATATCCCCTGATATAACTGAGGATAAGCATTGTGAATGAAGACACGACTTGCCTGTGCCAGAAATGTGCCACGATTCTGCCCCATTTATCATTGTTTATTTCTTTCGTTCTTATATTTTATTCTTAAAACCCTGTTTGGAAGGGAGCTCTGGTGGCCTAGTGGCAAGACACTGCACTGAAATCCCAGAGGTACATGATTCAAATCCACCAGATGCTCTGCTGGAGAAGGAGGGGGCAATCTCCTCCTGTACCAGTCAGATCTGATTTGATAGTACACATAAAAATAGTACAATAAAAAAAA